ACAGTGCTGAAGGCTGAAAATGGGCCTGGACATGAAGGGGGTATAAGTGCCCTGTAGGCAGGTGGTTAAACGGTGTATAGAAGGTCACATAAGGTTTTTGACTACCAGTAGCATTGAGGGTGTTATGTCATTACAGATTACAGGGAGTCTATTTTAACCAAACAGGCAGAAAGTTTTATAATTAAAAAAAACAGACCTCTAAACAGGTAGTTGGATTAGGGCAGTGGTGGGCAACCTTTTTTTTCAACTGAGCCAAATCTCGCCAAAACCATGATAGAAATTTATTTTGAGAGCCACATTTTTAAAACTGAAAATACATCCCCCATATAGTAATTCATCCCCCATAGTAATTCATCCCCCATAGTAATTCATCCCCCATATAGTAATTCACCCCCCATAGTAATTCATCCCCCATATAGTAATTCATCCCCCATATAGTAATTCATCCCCCATATAGTAATTCATCCCCCATAGTAATTCATCCCCCATAGTAATTCATCCCCCATATAGTAATTCATCCCCCATAGTAATTAATCCCCCATATAGTAATTCATTCCCCATTTTGTGTCAATTCACTTACCTTTGCTCCGCGCGTTCCTCTCGCCGTGTTCCCGCGCCGTTCCGGTCTTCAGGGCGGACTGTGAGAGGAGAGGAGTTCGTCACGCTGCCCCGCCTACATCCTGACAGCCAATGTTTGCCACGCTCCGCGGGCCGTAGTTTGCCCATTGCTGGGCTAGCTGCAGAGTCCTGACTTTTGGGGTGGCCGCCCGAGAGGAGGGAGGGGAGCGGGCGCCCAGCACACAGAAGAGCCGCATCAAAGTGTGTAAAGAGCCGCATGTGGCTCGCGAGCCGCGGCTTGCCGACCACTGGATTAGGGGATAAAGAGAAAGCAGAGCTAGCATGTCTAATGAGTAAATATTGTTTCCTCTATGTGTTCTCATGAATGTATGCATGTTTGTGAGTGTAAAACCATAAGCACATTTTGCACTTATCGTGCTTGTTATGTGCCACACGAAAACATGAAGGTGTACATGTTGATTATACACTGCTTAAAAAATGAAAGGAACACTTTGAAAATACATCACATCTTAATGGGGAAAAATATGCTGGATATCCATACTGATATGGACTGGGTAATGTGTTAGAAACATAAGGATGTCCCACCGTTAGATGGAAATGAAAATGATCAACCTACAGAAGACTGAATTCAAAGACACTCCGAAAATCAAAGTGAAAAAATGATGCAGCAGTCTAGTCCATTTTACTGAAATTTTATTGCAGCAACTCAAAATGGTACTCATTAGTTTGTATGGCCCCCGCGTGCTTGTATGCATGACTGACAATGTCGGGCATGCTCCTAATGAGATGACAGATGGTGTCCTGGGGTATTTCCTCCCAGATCTGGACCAAGGCATCACTGAGCTCCTGGACAGTCTGAGGTGCAACCTGGCAACGTCAGATGGACCAAAACATGATATCTCAGAGGTGTTCTATTGGATTCAGGTCAGGCGATCATGGGAGCCATCCAATGGTATCAATTCCTTCATCCTCCAGGAAATGCCTGCATACTCTCGCCACATGAGGCCGGGCATTGTCGTGCACCAGGAGGGACCCAGGGCAATAGGTCCAAGGATTTCATCACGATACCTATTGGCAGTCAGGGTGCCATTGTCTAGCCTGTAGAGGTCTGTGCATCCCTCCAAGAATATGCCTCCCCAGACCATCACTACTGACCCACCACCAAAATGGTCATGCTGAACGATTTTACAGGCAGCATAACATTCTCCATGGTTTCTTTAGACCCTTTCATGTCTGTCACATGTGCTCAGGGTGAACCTACTCTCATCTGTGAAAAGTACAGGGCACCAGTGGTGGACCTGCCAATTCTGGTGTTCAATGGAAAATTCCAATTGAGCTCTATGGTGCCGGACAGTGAGCACAGGGCCTCCTAGAGGATGTCGGGCCCTCAGGCCACCCTCATGAAGTCTGTTTTTGATTGTTTGGTTAGAGACATTCACACCAGTTGCCTGCTGGAGGTAATTTTGTAGGGCTCTGGTAGTGCCCATCCTGTTCCTCCTTGCACAAAGGAGCATATACCAGTCCTGCTGATGCATTAAGGACCTTCTGTGGCCCTGTCCGGCTCTCCTAGAGTAACTACCTGTCTACTGGAATCTCCTCCATGCTCTTGAGACTGCTGGGAGAAACCGCAAACCTTCTGGCAATGGCACATATTGATGTGCCATGCTGGAGGAGAGTTTGACTGCCTGTGCAAGCTCTGTAGGGTCCAGGTATTGCCTCATGCTACCAATAGTAGCACTGACCCAGCTCAAATGCAAAACTAGTTTTGGGGGTCGTCTCATTGTTACCCATTTGGGTTAACCTGTTGTTAATTTCATTACACCAAAGCAGCTGAAGCTGATTAACAACCCCCTTTGCTACTTTACTGACCAGATTAATATTCCAGGAGTTTAATTGGCTTGATGCTATACTTTGATTAAAAAGTGTTTCTTTAATTTTTTTTTGAGCAGTGTGCATTTGCCTTGTGCTTTAAATATGTTAAAAGTGCATTATTTTTGTTTGTGTGTTTTTTTTTTTTCTATTTAATTTCCCTCTACATATTATCCTATTTGTAAGTGGGGGAGGCTGATGTCTAATACTGCAAAAATGTCCTTATTTATCCTAATAGAAAGATGTATTCCAACTGAAGGACCTGGAGAAAATTGCCCCAAAAGAGAAAGGAATTAGTAAGTTTATTTTTTCTTTAGTAATGTGAGCAGTTTGTGATAAGACATCAGCAAAAGTTTCAAGTTTATTAGTGCATGGGGCACCTGGTCCCTTTCAGTCCTGTGCATTGGTTCCTGAGCTAGCATGCCTGCTTCCTCCACTGCTGTCTGACCACACTGCTAGCAAACAGATGAATAGGAGACTGACAGGCACACATAGCTGAGTAATGATGGATTGTGCAGCAGGAGGAGAGAGGCATAACATCTGCAGCTTTGTGCCTCTTCTGTTTTACCCTATGCCTGCCGCATGATTCTTCTAATCCCAGACCTACCTGCCTGCTATTCCAAGGAAAGAGACTACAGTACTCTGGTTTATGTTGTGAAATACTGCTCACTGAGACGTGCTGTTTCTCACAAGAGCACTATCCCACAACACAAGCCAGTAGCTAGTTCTGTAGTACCTCTGCCAGGAATGGCAGAGGTACTACAGACCTGCTTGGTCTGGGCTTAGTTGTCTGAAAGAGACTATAGTACTAGCTGCTGGAGTGGATTGTGGGCTTGAGTTTTTGGAAATACCGGTGGAAATCTCCAGTGCACTGTCATTCACAACACAAGCTCATCAGCTAGTACTGTAGTCTCTTTCCCTAGATCACAAGGCAATAGTAACCCTTTTACAAGTACACCTCCAAATACATGCTGAATCGGCCAAGATTCAAACTGTCTATGGCCGGCTTAACTCTTGATCACAGTTCAGGAAGTGCAACCATATAGGTCTGTGGAAGGTGACCAATGATATGCAGTGAGAGTGAAGGAACCAATGGAGAATAACCCGACTGCTGCTGACGGTAATTGGAAATAATAATCAGAAATATTTGTGCAGTCATGTAGCAGAGAACAGCACCAGATACCACTTTTTAAAGTAGCTCCTTATTAAACCTGTTAAAACAGAGCAAATTACATTGCTTATGCTTTTTTAGGTTTTTAGAAAGCTCTTGATCAGGATATTTTTAAAGCTGAACTCCAAGAATTCAGCTACTTTCTAAAATGTGCTGGCTAAGGCTGGCCATAAACTAGAAGAATTTTGTTTGAAAGAATGTGTTTGTTTAAAAAATATTTGATTTTCTAATCATTAGTGGGGTCAAATCGACATTGTTGTTGACCGCAGTGACCAGAAGAGTCTAAGGAGCAGGATGGGAAATTTTTCTTAAACAACTGAATTTCTACTTGTGTATGTAGTTTTCATTTGATAAAGCCCATTCAATCCAAAATCGAATGTTAAAAGCAAATAAAATTTAGTACTTTGAATCGTCATTGAATGTACTAAGAATTTTTGCACGAGTGTTCCTGTGAAAATCTACAATGTATGACCATCTTTACTATGGGTTGATGGTTTTACGTTTTCACAGTACTTTTGGCGCTCAAATGCTGGACCTTCGGGTATCTGCACCTGTAGCTGCAGTCGTCTATAGCCGCTCTGCACACCCCACCTCTCCTCTTGCCTTGTCAAGGAGTGCTCTTATGCAAATCCATTCATATAATACAAAGCCATCTGTCAATGGACAGCAGAGGGGAGGAGTGGGCAGAGCCTGCTGTGTGAGAAAGCAGCATCTAACCTGTCAGAGCATTGGGAGTTTAGCATAGCAGTACTTCCAGCACTCACAAAAACTGTCAGTTGTAAATAAAGAGATAAGCCTATCAGGTGGCATGTATCTTGTTGGACTTAACCCAGAGTAAGACAGCACAAGTGGCTGAATTCCTGGAGTTCAGCTTTTAAAGGTAAGTTTTCCTATGCCAAGCAAATAGGAGATGCTCTCACAAGGCCTTCTATGCAACAGTATTTGTAAAGCAACTCTGTTGTGTCCCTTTTTGGAAGATTTCCCCCCTTTACCTGTTCTGGTGACAATCCAAAATCTGAGATTTTCTTTCACTTTCACTCTCTGTAGTGAAGGTAAACAGGACAAATAGAGAAGGTGAATCTCCTTAATGGGAGCAAAGACAGCAATAAAAACCTGGTACGCGTTCCAATCCATTTACACTCTATCTAAAACAGAAAATGCTAGGTTAATAGGTAAAATTCCCCATAGGGTTCCACATGAAGCTTAGAACACATTATCAAAGTTGTTTGGTTTTTAGTAAAGAACGGCTTTAACTTGTCCAGAAAATCTTGTCCTAGCCCTATTGACTTGCACCATCTTGACTGATGAATGAAATGACAGATTATTTTGTCAGTCTATTGCATTTCCAATGTAAGAGCAATTCTTTTTTTTTCTAGCATCCATGTCCGTGAAAGACATCCTTCAAAGTCTAGTGGATGATGCCATGGTAGATTCTGAGCGCATTGGGACTTCAAATTACTTTTGGGCTTTTCCTAGCAAGGCTCTCCATGCTCGGAAGAGAAAGCTGGAGACTCTGGAAAGCCAGGTAATTCTATTCTGATACTATCCTGTCGTGCTGACATAGTAGACCATGATGGATTTGCATTTTCATGTCAAACTGATTTCATGCAGACTGTTTTTCTTTTCTGGAGATTAAATAGAATTGCAAGGGCATATTCAGTAAGGTGGTAGTGTTTTGGTGACGACTATCTCTTGATGTTGGCTTGATAGTCTTTCCCCTCCTATGTTCACACACTTAAGCCCTGTCAGTACTTTCAGATATGGGGAAGCAAGTGATCCTTTTCTTCTCCTCCTCCAGCAATACAGTGGTCAGTGCTTGATATACCTGGGAACTTTCTGGAATTGACCAGGCAGTGCTGGAATTTTGAACCGGTTGCCAGGTCACTACTGTAGTCGGGCAATATTCAGGAACAGGCTGACCTGCAGAGTTAGTAAACATGCAGCATGATGACATTCTTGTGCGCTATGCACGCTCTGCTCTATGCTCACTGGCTGCCTGCAGAGGAGTAGGGATGGAAGAGGTGCTATGGGGTGGGGAGGAAATCTGAATGCTATGAAGTATAGCAACTAGTGCCCCTTCCTGATCTGGTGGGGTTTGTGTCTGTAGTCTTGGGGGTGGTCGTATTGTGGTCAAGTGGAGAACCAGGACTAAACAGCAAGGGGTCTGGGAAATATGTCACTTACCTGGTGGCAGCCTGATACACTAGCAGTGTCACCAAAATGGTTTGGGGTAGCAAGGTTTCAGCCAGGTGGACTATCAGTGTCACCGGAATGTTAGTTGGAAGCCAGGTGTGCTGTCATTGTAACTGGAATGGCACGGAGACTCTGTGTACTGTGAACCTATCCTTTAAGCCCCTACCAATTTTAAGTTCAGTGTGGTCACACCTACTTTTCTACATTCTGAGTAGTCTCATTCACCCAGTTCCTAGGTATGGTGCCTTAGTATTGTCCTCTGGGAGGATCTTTAGCTCTGTGTAAGCTTTTCCCCTAGCCCCCCCCCCCCCTTTTTTTTTTTTTTTTGAAAGGAGATAACCCCATTAAAAGGGAATGTTTTGAAGATATACTAGAATTAAACCCTAATCCTTCCTTTTACACCTTTTAGCCTGGCTGGCTGGGCTGAGTCCTGGCCTGGCTGGCTGGGCTGAGTCCTGGCCTGGCTGGGTGGGTTTGACCTGTCAGAGTAATATATAATTTGGTTAGGGCAGTGAAGGGGTCAAGAGTAAGTAATGCAGAGGTCAGTAACAAGTAATGTAGAGATCAGTGCAGGGGTCAGTAGGAAGTAATACATTGTGATGAGGTCAGTTGGGCATTAATAAATGCAGAGGTCTGTAGGAAATAATACAGAGTGCAGATTTCAGTAATAAGTAATACGGTGTACTAAAAAAAACAAACAAAAACAAAGCATTCATCCTTGGAACCCCCTCTGTACCATCTCAGAAGTGCTTCCCCTCCTTATAAGTAGAGTGGTGTAGGAAACAGCTGCAAGATATTACAGCTACTTGTTCTGGCGCAACATCAGAACATGTAGCATTAATAGCTTGTAGTCGCTTTCTGCGCTGCGCTACATGTAAGAAAGGGGAGCTCTCCTGAGGAGTGTGTGGCAAGGCAGGTATGGGATCTACCTGTCGCATAGCCACTATTGACAGGTTGTCAACCTTGATATAAGTTGTGTGTTGTGGATTCAGCAGGTACTCTGTAAGATAATAAAAAATACCACATGTATTATGTGTTTGTGATTTTGCTTTTGTGTGTGTTTTTTTATCTGCATTATAAATAAAGCAGGAACTTGGTACACAAAATGGTAACATACTATGACCTTCCCTGGTTTAAAAATTTTCTGCTTGCGTTAATCAGTGCATGACCACTAGAGGGGGTGCTATATCTGTTACAGTATGAAAAAGGAAATGAAAGAGGAGAAATAAATGACATAATAGTGAAAACTATGTTCTTTGGCAGCTGGCTTGCGGGTTATTTTCAGCAGAATGAACCGGAAATGGTCTCTGGGGCAACTTCCCATTTCTGTATGTCTAATATTAAGATGCTTATTACAAGAAATGCAGTTTCCTATTTTGTATGCATTGAATTCCCATCATTGTTTGTTTTTTTTTTTTGGTTTGCACATCTCTAGGCCTTTACTTTTTACCTTCAACTCCCCCTTCCATCACTTGCATGTGCTTTGACCAGAGGTAAAATTTTTATCATGAAGATCTTGATCAGTAGATCAAGGCAGCGTGTACTTACATGCTTTGTCATGCACAGAGGTCTAAAAATACTGCATGCTGTTGTTTGAGAATGGTGGTACATAATGTGTTCATACATTATGTGGATGATTTCAGTCACATGGGGCTGAGAGATATAAACCCTTGCTGGAATTTCCTAAGTTTCAGCATATTAAATTTCATGGGGTTGATTTACTAAAGACAAATAGTCTGTGCACTGCAAGTGCAGTTGCTTTAGATCTACGGGGATGCTCTGAAATGAGGGGAAGCTTTGCTGATTTCTATAATCTAATCATGTGCAAGCAAAAATGCTGTTTTTTTTTTTTTTTTTGCTTGCATGTGATTGGGTATTCTTTGCAAAGTGAAGCCTTACCTCATTTATTAAGCTCTGGAGCAAGTGCACTTGCAGTGCACAGTATGTTTGCCTTCAGTAAATCAACCAATATGTGTAAATAGGGTTATAGACAGCAAAAGGGACTTAGTAGCATATGATTAAAAAATAGCTAAGGGCTCCTGTATGACCGTCTGAACCAGGGCTCCTCAAACTATGGCCCACGGGCCGGATACGGCCTGCCAAAGACATTTATCCAGCTCTCCGGACCAGCCGGAAAAAAAAAAATCTGAAACGAAAAAAAAAAACAAAAAACCTGGCACCGGCCGGCAAATAGCTAGGCTGCTTGCTGGGTCCTCGGCAGCAAAGACCCAGTGAGCGGCAACCTGGAAGCCCTGGATTTCACCTGTTGCAGCCAGGGGAGCACACCATGTACAGTGCATTGCATTGTCCAGTGTGTTACAGTGTACAGTGCATTTTAAATATTGCATTGTTTTTTCCTTTTATTTTGCACTACAAATACGATATGTGCGGTGTGCATAGGTAGTTCATATTTTTTTCAAACTATATTCTGGCCCCCCAACAGTGTGAAGGTCTGTGAACTGGTCCTCTGTTTAAAATGTTTGAGAACCCCTGGTCTAAATAGTTATCAAATCCAGTTATGTACAATCCTCATAAAGTAAATAAAAAACCTTCCTTTTCCTTCCCTGGCTAAGCCAAATCTTTCATTATTTCTGTTTCGCATGCTCCAGAAGCTGTAGTTCACAGCAGGAGGGTTTTATCCATAGAAGCAATGCTGCCAATCCAGAAAGCAATGGGCAGGGCTAGTAGTTGATTGACAAGCTACAGGCTTGTGATTTAGCAGTGACAATGCTGATAGCCATGCTCCTTGCAACATTGTTTCATCCAAATGTAGTGAAAGCATATAGAGCAGGGGTAGGTAACCTCTGGCACTAGTACCGGAGGTGGCATGCGACAGCATCAGGGACGGCACCCAAGGGGAGTCCTGGGAGACCCACCTCCCAAACAATAAAGCTGCATACAGAAGAAGCAGCGTGGCTGGTGTGCACCCCCCCTCTATTCCTGCTGGTGTCGATTCTGGCATTGCTTTCTCCACACTGAAGCTGTGTCTAGTCGAATTCCCCAAGCTGCTTGTTCTCACTTTGAAAGGGTACAGTAATTTTTCCTCCTCTGCGGTACAAACAATTCTCTCCCTCGGCATCCATTTGCCTGGCTCAGCTTGGAGGGGATATAGCCAGAGAGATTTATCTTCAAATGGCATCAATTAAGTTATCAGAGGTGTGAAGGTGCAGGAATGGAGATGTTCTGAGCTGTGAAAGTGCTGGATTTGGAGTGAGTTTAAGTGTGACGGTGCAGTAATTGGGATGATATGAGCTGTCAGGGTTCTGAATTGGCGATGATCAGAGGTGTAAATGTGCAGGTATTTGGGTGATCTGAGGTAGGAAAATGCAGGAATCGAGACTTGTCTGAGGCCTGAAGGAACAGGAAATGGGGCTGATCTAGGTTGCAAAAATGCAGGAATTGGGGTGAGATGAGCTGTAAGGGTGCAGGAATTGGAGATGATCAAAAGTTTAAAGATGCAAGTATTTGTGTGATCTGAGGTGTGAAAATGCTGGAATTGGGGTCTGAAGGAACAGGATTTGGCTGATCTGGGTTGTAAAAATGCAAGAATTGGGGTAAACTGAGGTCTAGAGGTGCACAAATTGGGGTAACCTGAGGTGTGAAGTTGCACATATTGGGACTGACCTGAGGTGTGAAGTTGCATATAGCTGGCACTCTCAATTTCTTCTAAAACATTTTTCGGCACACCATGCTCAAAAGGTTGCCTACCCCTCATATAGAGTCTACATGGGAGTGGATTGAAAATTGAATTCAGGAACAGTGTAGCATTATTGCCACGCCATCACAGGAACTGTATTGGGTGGAACTCATTTGCATGATCAACAAGTATTTGTGGCACTTTGCAGGGGAGGCTAAGAGAGAAAATTGTAGATGCACAAATTAAGTTCTACAGCACTTTTTTTGTGGAAGACCTCAATGCTACTTTAAGCTCACCTTTTAAAAAAAAGAAAGAAAAAAAAATGCACATATTTTAAATTTTTTTGTTTTTTTTTTCTGGAACCTGCAGAGCCTTGCACATGCAATCTGCAGATTATGGCTGCAATGTCAGGCTCATGCAGACACTCAGTATAGCTGTCTGCCCATGCCTCTCATGAGGGCATACAGTTACTAAAGAGCAGAAAGATCAATGAACTATGAGAGGGCACACTGGCACATGTGCAGTTCATTGAGAACTACAAGCAAAATGGACACTGACAGGCTATGCTGAAGGGACAGCTTAGTATAACCTCTCCTGCTCCCAGCTCGCCTCAGTTTTTTGCTAGTATCCTTAGGAGAACAGACATCTTTGCTCTGCTCTACTGAAATAAAGCCTTTTTTTTTTTTTTTTTTTTA